CGCTTCATTGGTGAACAGGTTAACAGTTCAAATCCCATCTAGCCTCACCAACATCACAAGGCACTTTTTTAACAAAAACGCAAACTCATTGACATCTGCTGTGCTCCGTAGGTGCTATGGATGTGGAGGAACGAGCACGGCAGATGAAGCTGAAGATGAACAAGTATAAACAGGGAACCGGCTCAGATTCAAGGCTGGAACAGGACTATCACAAGGCAAGTAAAAGTGGTCTACCGCTCCAATACTTCACATGAAAAACAGTTCAAAACTTTTTAAATGAGTAAATATGGTTATACTATAGTTAGTACAGGTATATACTTCTGCTCATAACTCATTTCACAAATTGGTTGGTTTTCATGTTTTCTAGTCGTAATATTTGTATTTAGAATAAATGTATCAGTTGCATTCACGCTACAAGAAATCGTAACAATTAATAGTACTTCTGGTTACTTGAATAATTTAATATTTAATAATAATAATAATAATAATAATAATAATAATTTTATTGTAATACATTATTTTAATTTTCTCCTATTAATTTTTTTTAATCTTAATAAAGATGGGGTCATTTTTGTTTTCATTTATTGATTTTAAAATATATGCATGCATGTTTGTGCATTTTATTTTATTTTATTTTATTTTATTTTATTTTATTTTATTTTATTTTATTTTATTTTATTTTATTTTATTTTATTTTATTTTATTTTATTTTATTTTATTTTATTTTATTTTATTTTATTTTATTTTATTTTATTTTATTTTATTTTATTTTATTTTATTGATCAAGCTCTTCTTTCACCCCCTTAGTTTAGTTTAGTTAGCTATTTTTGTTTGTGGTTTTTAGTTTAGTTAACTAATTAGTCTGTAGTAAAACTAGGTCCAGGTAGTCAGAAAAGCTGAGCACTTTTCAGCCATTCACATTGCTTATTTGAACTTACGTGATCATAGATTAAACATGATGTTTGTTTGGCGACCCACTTCCAGCAGTTGTGAAATTTTTATAGATCTATGTAGTCTTCCAGGTTTGTGGTCTCTGCTCAGTATATACATTAGTATTTGTGTACACTGGACATTGTGCTGAGATTCAGCTCCATATATAGCTATATCG